GTAACTCCTAAAAGCATAACTTTGGAGTCAAGTAAGAAACAGCTCAGCTGTTTATTGTTGTGGAACCCTGGTTACTTAATCGCCAGAAGTCTCAATTGCTCCATTTCTGAGAAAGAAGTGGTTGTAATACTATGTGCTGCACAGGGTTGTTTAAGGTATCAAATAAAATAGTGCACATCAAAGTTTCTCATCCTTAGCACTGTAGACATTTGGAGCTGAGTTATTCTTTGTTCTGAGGGCTGTCCATGGAATCATAGGATGTTGAGCAGCAACTCAACCTCCACTACTCAAGGCCAGCAACAACGCCCTCCCCAGTTATGACAGCCAAATATGACTCCAGACTTTGCCAATGGACCCCTAGAAGGAAAAACTGCCCCCATTAACAACCACTGAGGGGTCAGCTCTGTGGTGTATTAAGCTAAGCCTCACATGCAACACCAGCGTCCCATATGATCACCAGTTCATGTCCCAGCTGCTCCTCTTCTGATTCAGCTCTCTGCCATGGCCTGGGAAAACAGTGGAAGATGGTCTGAGTGTTTGGGCCCCTGTGCCAGCATGGGAGACTGAAAAAAGCTCCTGGATCCTGGCTTTGGATCAGCCCAGCTCCAGCCATTGTTGCCATTTGGAGAGTGAACCAGCAGATAGAAGATCTCTCTCTCTCTCTCTCTCTCTCTCTCTCTTTAGCTCTCTCTGTCTGTTACTCTGCCTCTGAAATAACTAAATAAATCTTAAAAAAGAAACACTGATGTGCATCAAACATTTAACACTGTGATAATGTGATAAATTATGGCTAAATGGAAAGAATTAATGTGCATTCTCAATACAAGTGGCCAATATAATGGTTAGCACTGACTGCTTAATATATGAGTAGATAAACAATATGATCCCGAAGCCAATGAACTTCAAGCATTCTCTATCCTTCCTATCTTATACTAAAATATAGATATCTCAACTAAAAATAAAGTACTTGTGTTTCAAAAAACATTTTAGATAAGTGACTATGTACACAGTTTAGGTTACCCTTCCAACTTAATGCATAGATTTATATTCTAAATCTTAAGGAAGTTTTTTTTTGGTAAATTCCAATGAGGATAGCCATAGCTAGTATATTGCAATAAAATTCAATGCCAAGTATTGAATCGATTCTTTGATTAAAAAGAATATTTCAGATTGTTATTCCAGTTATTAAGTCATTGATGTAGTAAGAGAACAAAGCTCAAACTACATTTTGGTGCTCATTAATCAAAGTTCATTATATAAGTTCCATGTTTCATGCAGTCTTCTAGACATTTGGGACACATTATTGAACATAACCATGATATAATCCTATACAACCTCCATTATAGAAATTAATAAATGTATACATAAAATAAAAATAAATAATAATCATAACTTCTAAACTATTTGCCTTAGAAATATTCTAGGTGAGACTGACAGCAAAATTCCAGTTGATGACTGTAATCCAACCAGAAACATTTTGTGACTGCATTCACTGTTTGCCATTTCGTTGCTCATCTGTGATTTCATTTTACTGAACTCTGACTTTGTCCTGTGATCTGAATTACAATGAGGATATTAAATCAAATCTGTGGGGGTTTTTTTGCATACTTTGTGATTTCAGACATTTAGATTATGGTTTGCTGTGTGTGTAATTTTTTAAATTGTCTCAAAAACAGTATTCCTTTTACTTTCTCTAGGTTTTCTCTAATGATTTAACTTTATATCATATTTTATGCTGTGATCTAACAGATCAGTAAAGTGATTTTTAAAAATAACTATATAATATATTATTTTTTTAAAATTTATTTATTTGAGAGACTGAGTTACAGACAGAGAGAGCAATATATGATTTTTTTTTTTTGACAGGCAGAGTGGATAGTGAGAGAGAGAGACAGAGAGAAAGGTCTTCCTTTTGCCATTGGTTCACCCTCCAATGGCCACCATGGCTGGCGCGCTGCAGCCGGCGCACCACGCTGATCCGAAGGCAGGAGCCAGGTGCTTCTCCTGGTCTCCCATGGGGTGCAGGGCCCAAGCACTTGGGCCATCCTCCACTGCCTTCCCGGGGCACAGCAGAGAGCTGGCCTGGAAGAGGGGCAACCAGAAAAGAATCCAGCACCCCGACCGGGACTAGAACCCGGTGTGCCGGCACCGCTAGGTGGAGGATTAGCCTATTGAGCCACGGCGCCAGCCGCAATATATGATTTTTACATCTCACTTTTTTCATCTGTAAAATGGAACCTTTAAAATGCTTAACTCAACAAGATTGTCTGAAGAATTAAATAAGATAATGTTTGCAAAAGAAAATAGAACTAAAGAAAATACCAAGCACAGTAGTTAAGTATTTTCTGTACCTTTCCTAGACACTTACTTGTTTCTATTATTTCAAATATCTTAATGCAATAAATGAAATATTTTATCTTGTTAATTGTATCTGGGGAGGATGCAGGATTACAATTAAATAAAAGCAAATATATATCTAGCAGGACTGTATAAGTAATATCTCTTTGGCTGCAAATCACTAGTTTCAAAAGTAAATCCCTCTAAAGGTGAAAACCATGAATGTTCTTGCACATAACCCTTTCTCTACATGTTTTCTCTGATTCTAAGAGACATGCTCATTGTTAGGACATTTGAACATTACAGAAATTCATCATCTGGAAAGTAAAGAGTCCCTGTATCTACATAGCACCCCAACTCTTTACCTCTAGAGATAATTAATGTGGTGATCTATGTATACGCTCGTTTGGTTTTCTTCACCATAGACTAATTTATATTTTTATTACAATAAGATCACATTATGTGTACTGTTTTGCAACTGGCTTTTATGCACTTAAAATATGTATTTGGTGTCTGGGTCAACACATGCTGTTCCTTCATTTCTAACAGCTGTCAAGGGCAGTAACTTGAGGATGCATTTGTGGCTCTCTCTATCCACGAAGTCACATAGAATTTAGATTTGATAGGAAAAAGCCCTGCAGCTGGCCCTTGCACTGCTAACCACCAGCCTGCCCTCTCCACGTAACAAGTGACTCAGAAGATATCAGTCACCACAGCAGACCAAGCCTTCCTCAACACAGCAAGAAGGTTCATCCAAATGGTGACTACATATTCATACAACAGTTAATCCCAAGGATCACAGAAACACTACAGATGCAAAACCTTTGAAGTGGCACTCCTTTTTGGAGTGTGGAGCCCAGTTGTGTGTAGTCTACTTACAGCAGGGAAGAAATTGTATTTGAGGATGTTAATGTCAATCTGATTTTTTTTTCAGCTCTGTTTCTTACGTCATAACATCACAATGTATTGACCTAGAAATCAAAACATAAATAAAAATCTCAGAATTTAAGACCATGGGACAAGATAAAACAGACAGAGTTCTTGATTAAGAAACTAATACTGGAATATAACCCAAGTAATAAAGTTAGGCATTCATATTCAAAATAAGCACGTATTCAATTATCACAGTCTCTGTTTCACAGAGGAAGCATTAAGCATTCATGTCATAAGTTTATTTACAAACATATTTAGTATGCTATGGGCATTCATGCATTTGACCCATTTTGCAAAGAGATTGCACCTCTCAAAATACTCCTCTTATCAGTTAAATGGGTGAACTAAATCATCCTTATTTCTTAAGCAGCTGGTGTCTTACCAAGAAGAAAGGAGCAAAAAATCCAGATCCAAAGTATGAAGTTTTCGTTAGTAACCACCACTTCTTTTCCAACAAAAAGGGCAAATTTTTCCCTGAGTCCTTCTCAAAGCAGCGCTTTCAACCAGAGGTTGTGAACCTACAGATGCTCTGTCCCAAGATAGCACTGTTGGAAACTTTGCAAAAGGAGCAGGGACCAAAGGCAGAAGAAATGGGGAAACCACACCACGTTCCCTTTTTCTGCCACAACCTTATTCCCTTGCTTGCAAGGACCAAAAGAGAACATGGGATATGTCATTAAGGCTCCTGGCTTCGGATCAGCACAGCTCTGGCCATTGCGGCCATCTGGGGAGTGAACCAATAGGTGGAAGACCTCTCTCTCTGTCTGTAACTCTGTCTTTCTAATAAATAAAATAAATCTTAAAAAAAAAAAAAAGAAAGAAAGAAAATTGTACAAGAGGCCATTCATCCCCATTTCACTTCTCTCATTTCAAAACCTATATCCCATCACTCGGATGTTGACTCAGAGCAACTGAGACCTGTCTTCTCTTTTCTCAGCTTTCATTAGCTCTCTTTGTCTCCTTTGCTTACAGAAGAGCAGATATTTTTAAGCCAAATGTCAATGTGTCAAACACTAAATATCCGTTCCCATGCAATGCAGTGTCTGTAATTATATACTTCATTGTAACAAATGTGATATTATTGAATTTGTGCACCACATTCACAAGTAATTGACAGACAGGTGGAAAGAGTACTCTGTACTGACAGCATGGAGTATTCAACTTAATTGATACCTTTATTAAGTGGTATTTAAAATTGCAGACTCTACATTAGTGGATTTTGGGCATAACGGCGATAATAAACTCCCTTGGCAAAGAAACAAGAGACATTAAATCAAGTGCCACTTTTATGGCTGGGCAGTCTATGATACCTCTGTGACATAACCCAGGAGCCGTGGAGTTAGAGACAGAGGCAATAGCTCCTTCCTTCTGACAGGAATCCTAATGAAACCAGGATTGTGCAGAAAGCTGTCCCCCAGTCCCAAGGCTCCCTGAAACCCTGAACTTTCTGAAGGCCATTGTCCAGTTGGTTAAAGATTAAATACTACATGATTCAAAATCTCGTAGATAAAACATAGGGTGGTGAAGAGATCAGAAAGCAGTAGGTGGGTCCTGGCTTCTGTCTTTTCATTCCCCAGTCATCACAGAGCCCAAGCAGCAGTAGGCAAGGTGGGGGTTCAGTGTCTCTTTGTGCCCCAAATAAGTCAAAGTGAACCTGTTGGAAATATCGTTTTGAGAAACAAAAAGTTCTAGTCATGCTATTTATGGCTGTTTCAACTTGTCTTTTTCAGATACCATTGTTCTTATCGCTTCAATAGCAGTTGTTTCTGCAAAAACTCAGGGTAATATTTTTGCCACGTCCGCACTCAGAAGTCTCCGTTTCCTGCAGATCCTCCGTATGGTGCGCATGGACCGAAGGGGAGGCACTTGGAAATTATTAGGTTCAGTGGTTTATGCCCACAGCAAGGTAAACTTGGCTTTCTGAGTTTTGGAAACAAAATTTTGCAACTTTTTCATGGCTTGCTGCAATATTTGATTAACCTTTCAGAAGTCAGCTTTAGTCATTACAGAAATTGGGTAAAGTACTTTGAGGTCATGATGTATAACAGATTATTTTTAAAGCCATCATAAATATCCAAGAAGTAGTAAAGTGAGTGAAACTGTGCATAAACTTGTTCTTCATTTTTCTAAGTTTTTTTTACCTTTTGGAAGATTTTTGCCTCTAAAAATATTTCATTCCTTTTATGTCTAGGAATTAATCACAGCTTGGTACATAGGATTTTTGGTTCTCATTTTTTCATCTTTCCTTGTCTATCTGGTGGAAAAGGATGCCAATAAAGAGTTTTCTACATATGCAGATGCTCTCTGGTGGGGCACAGTAAGTATAAAAAATCTTTTTTTTTTTTTTTTTTTTACTGTGTGTTCTGAAATGTTTCCTTTGAATACAAAGTATGGTCCCCATAGATGGTCTCAGTAAAAATGTTCATGTGCAAAGCAGAGTTATGTGAAAATACACACATTCAGGAATACTGAAATGAAGGTAGAGGGGCAAAAGTGTCATCTTCCATGGTATGGGAGGGAAGTCAGCTGAATCTCCACTAGATGTAATCTATTTACATGATAAAGTTCAGAATTGTTTTTGCATTGCTACAACTTCCAGAGTTGTAAAATAGATCCAAGACCATGAAAGGTACAGAGCCCCATATAACCATAATCCAGTAACCTCAGCAGGCTTACTCTGAGCAACACGTAGTTTTACTTGGAGGCGAAAGTTCCCCCTCCATCATCAAAAAACTTGTAACAGTCATTGGAATTTGTACCCCACTGAGAATGTCACAGGATATGGGAATGCTTTGTGCAATATATAAATTATATTTCTTTTTATTTTCTTCCTTTAACACATTTGAAAGGAAGTTATATGAAAATATCCAACATTTATAATTGTGTAAAAAAATTCCCAGTCTCTTTGGTCCAACAAAGTAACCTTATCTTATAAATCATCATTAATATTCCTTGAGTGCTAGATTGTTACCAAAATAAAAATATGTCATTTTCTTAAACTGTGGTGAAAACACTGATCCTGTTTCTTTGTTTCATGGAACACAGATATGAGATACTAGTTGTGTTGTTCTACTACTCATCAAAATCTCATCAGCAAAACCTGGAACTCGTGCCCACCACAAGTAAAATTTGTCAGGGCTGTATTAAGCAGAATGTGGTATATTGGTTAGTTACATAGCAATAAAATGGATAAAAATCAGTAATACATTCAAAGATGGAGATTTTTTTTCTTAGTTATCCGAATAAATGTGTATGAGACTGTGCCATTGCATTCTGGTCATTAAATGATTTAGCTTCTGACATCTCTTCTGTCATCACAAGTAATAATGAATATTTTGAAAAGAGGAGAGTAGAAACTTGAAAGAAAGCAGTCATCTGATCAAGAGTTTTTTATATGTAGAGAGCAAATGGAAATCTGTTACCAATGCTGGGATAAGCTGTGTAAACTGAGAAAACAGGAGGCTTTTCTTGCTAACAGAGGAGAGAGAGTTTACCATCCCAGCCTTCACAGCAATGGTTTGGACTCAGATTCATTCTTTGCTTTTCTTGGAAAATTGTAGTATATTTAAATTACTGAGGCACCCAGGTGTACCTTTTCCCACTGAGATGTAGTCGGTGAGTTTAGTGCTTTATCATTTTTCCATCGGTCTTCCTCTTTTCCTTATTACTAATAAGAATTGCTATATTGTGTGTTAAAAAGTGTGTGGGCAACTCTTAATATACCTCCCACTTAAGTCACCAGCTTGTTTCTTTTGCCAAAATAACCCATATAACAGGGTTTTAGAGGTCATCTTTCAGGAAAAAGCAATATATTTTTCATTGATTTTTATTTCAGTAGTGCTATCTTGATGGATGTTTAACCTGCACTTACCAGGCTCCTGAGTGGCCTAGTTATGTTTCTATTTTTAAAGAAATGTAGTTTTGGTAAGATAGTAAAAATATCCTCAGACATTAGGCTTCTAGGAATGAAAAAGGCCTTGTTGATCCCAAGTGGGATTGCTGATGTCAACTGGCCCATTATTGAAAGTGTCTGAAGTCTAAAAAGGCAGAAAAAAGCAAGTAGGCTTATTATTTCCATTCATTATATAAAGAACATATAGTAAGTCTCTAATTTTAAATAAAATAAATTTAGGCTATTATGCCTTTTATTATATGTTAATCAAGACCTTAGTGAAATAAATGGCTGTATGTTTTAGTAAAAAAAAAAAGTGCCCATGTTCATATAGCAGACATCTTAAGTATGGCAGTATCCCGAACATACCCCAAATTGGAGTATCTCTAAGTGCTAGGCCTTGGTGAAAGAAGGAAATCCCATTTTATTGAAAGAGCCCAGAGACTCAACATTAAGTTTCAAATTGCATTTCGTGTGCTACAGATATAATGTCCCAGTGAATTTCAAATAATACATACTAAATTCATTTCATTAACATGGTGAAGACTGTCCTCAAAACCAACTTTTGGTAGGAAACTATAGTGTTAGTAATATTGTTCAAGGCCAATAAGTTTCAAATAACTTTGGTCCCTGAAAATAGTTCCATAGTAGTGAATAGCAATACCTAGCCTATTGGGTGAGAAAGGTAAATAAAGGGCCTGGTACCAAGACCAGGGCAAGTGCCCAAAGATGGTGGCTAATGGTGTAGTGATCTGTGGGTGTTAGTGGGAACACCTTTTTAACAAAAGGAACACAAAGGAACCATATGCTTTGTTGTGTTCAAGTACAGAGGGGCTTGAGAATTTGAGGTTGTGATGAAAAGCTGTTCTGAAGTGGTAACTAACAGGACATTGATGGCAGAAAGTAGAGGGGTGAGCAGGGGTCACTCACTAGAGGTACTAAGCAGAGGCACTGGCAGCTCCTGGAAAAGAAAATGTTCTGTTGCTGGATACAGCTCCACTTAATGTTATTTCCTATCTTATTTTCCTCCTTAACTGCTTCAGATATATTCTGAAATAACTTAAGAATGGGTTTTTTCTGGAGTTATTTCCTCTTATTATCTTTCTTTCTTTCCTGTTATTATTTTTTATCCTTTTTATTTGCTTTATATTCTTTCTGAGATAACGTAAGGTCAAATTTTCCTGAAGTAATTTTTTCTAATAATGATTTGTTGTTGAAGGTCAGCTTTTCCTCCTTCTACTTACTGCTATTTCTGTACAATGCACACCACAGCAGACAGTGCAAATCTACTCTTGAGTAAGCATCTGAATCCAGACTCCACCTGAGACCATGTGCTTGAAGTAATGACATTGGGTGTGTCGCAGGCTCTTATATCAGCTAGAATTGGGCAAAGAATTCATGCTGAAATGCTTAACAGTCTTCCTCAAGGCAAATCATATATAATGTTGTGAACTTGGCACTCAATAATTCACACATCCCAAATACATGCCATGAGTTTCATCCCCTTGGAAAAGCTAAAGATAAGAAATTATGTAAATTTATGAACAAAAAATTATCTTCCTTGACAATACCATTTACTCTTCAGGGAACCAACACTCCTTACATTGGCTTCACCAATACAAAACATTTTATACGACATCTGATAAGATATTTTCTAACTCAGAGCTGTTATGTTAAATAAAAGTAATTGTTTTTTACTATGAGTGTTTTGATTGATACTATCAAAATGTACCTGGCCATTAGAGAATCAACACATCAGCTACTAACTACTCAAGAGTATTATCAATCTGCAAGCAAAAACTTTGGATACATATACCCCTCCAAAACAACTCTAGATTTTATGAGCATCTATAAGACTATGTCTAACTTAATTTTAGGCATTTATGAAGTATATTCGTCTTAAGTCTCTTTGGGAGATTGTTTCTTCAGAAAACATCTATTCTTTAATGTCGTCTCACTCGTAGCTCTGGACATTCCTTCTCAGTAAATGTTATGCTATAAACATTGAATGTATACTATTTTGAAAAGAACAGAAGAATTGGAATCAAGAGACCTAGTTTCCATCCCCAACATTATGAGTTAGCAGAGGCATGATATTAAGTAATTATTTAACACCTCTGTAGAATGGAGTTAATATTAACTAAATACAGTGTTGCTGATGTATGAAATGAGATTCGGACATGAAGAGATGTGCTTTGTCAAATGCTAGGCAAATCTTGGTCATTATTAGTGTCACATAATTGACCATGAGCCGGGAAGAATGACTTGGAATGCTAATACCCTGAGCTCCCTACCACAGCTATCTCAGCTTACAGATACCACCACCACAGGGGAGGCTGACAGGTAACTTTTAAAAACCTTTTGCTCCTTTAGTTCAAAATTGACTGCACGGGTTATATGGCCTCTCATTATCTGAAACGAGATTCCTAGGAAGTAGCCTAGAGAGAATAGAAAAGCGAATAGTGAGAAAGAGAGGGGAAGGGAAAGAGAGGAGAGAGGAGGTAATTGTGGAGGGGGAGATGAAGCGATAATTGACAAATTGCCAGTGTGAGTCATCCTTCCTTAAAAGGGAAATGACACTGTGCTGTGGAAATCTGCCAACAGACATTCTTAGCTTATTCACATGAATACACCCACTACAAACCAGCATGCGTAACTGCATCTTCAAAATCAAGCAATATAGGTTGCTTGAAGGCAAAGAAGGGTTTACATCACTTGACCTGGAATTAATTATGCTATTGAAAAAGAAAAAAGCTATAGCTTGACCAGTGCCTAAGTTATAGTTTGTCTATAGAACCTGTCATACCACTTTTTAAGGTATAACTTTTTATTATGAAAATTTGCAAGTTTATGTGGAAGTAGAAAAATCAATAAACTTTCATGTACTCGTAATGAAACTTCAACAAAGATCAACTTTCAGTTCATGCAATTTCATCAATCTCCTAAATACATTTTATTTTTATGGAATATTCTGAAGTGAACTCTAGATATCATATAACTTCAACATATAAATACTTTAGAGTGTACTCAACAGATAAGCTATTTAAGAAAAGAATAATAAACCATCACACCCAATGTCCCAATATAACTTTTAAAAGTCATAACAATATCCAATATATTTTTTACATAACTTTCTTAAGACCAGAGTCCAAACATGCTCCATAAATTACATGTGTCTGGTATGTTTCTTTTATCATTTTTGAACTTTTATTTAATAAATATAAATTTCCAAAGTACAACTTTTGGATCATAGCGATTATAGTGGCTTTTTCCCCCATATCCTCCCTCCAACCCACAAACATCCCATCTCCCACTACCTCTCCAGTCCCATTCTTCATCAAGATTCATTTTCAATTATCTATATAGAGAAGATCAATCTAATATATACTAAGTAAAGATTTCAACAGTTTGCACCCAAACAGAAA